ATAACCCTATGAAAACTTATCAAGAAAGATGAGAATTTCTCAAACTGACAAAAAGAATGCATACAGGAGAGTAACAGTATAAGAGCTCGGAGAAGGTGAACAATTAAGACTTTTGTGTACTTGCTAAAGAGATGGACTTAATATTTCTGATATATAAGAGTGAAATCAGTCCTTTATTGAGCACTGATGCAAGTGATTTGGCTAGCTAGGTATGCAACCCCTTTTCTTTTAAATCATTTTATTGGGGGGGCTCATACAACTCTTAGCACAATCCATCAATCCAAGCACATTTGTATATTTGTTGTCCTCATCATTCTCAAAATATTTGCTCTCCACTTAAGGCCCTGGTATCGGCTCATTTCCCCCCTCCCGCCCCACTCACCCCTCCTTCATGAACCTTTGATACTTTATAAATTATTTTGTCATGTCTTACACTGTCCGTCTTCCTTCACCCACTTTTCTGTTGTCTGTCCCCCAGAGAGAAGGTTATATGTAGATCCTTATAATCGGTTCCCCCTTTCTACCTCCCTCTTCCCTCCACCCTCCAGTATCGCCACTTTCACCACTGGTCCTGAATTCCCTGTGTTTCCGGGTTCCTATCTGTACCAGGGACATCCTCTGGTCTAGCTGGATTTGGAAGGTAAAACTGGGGTCATGATAGTGGTGGAGGAGGAAGCATTTAAGAATTAGAGGAAAGTTGTATGTTTCGTTGTTGCTACACTGCACGCTGACTGGCTCGTCTCCTCCCCGCAACCCTTCTGTAAAGGGATGTCCCGTTACCTACAGATGGGCTTTAGGTCTCCACTCTGCACTCCCCCTCATTTACAATGATAGGATTTTTTTGTTCTTTGATGCCTGATACCTGATCCCTTCGACACCTCGTGGTCACACAGGCTGGTGTGCTTCTTCCATGTGTGCTTTGTTGCTTCTGAGCTAGATGGCTGCTTGTTTATCTTCAAGCCTTTAAGAGCCCAGACACTATATCTTTTGATAGCCGGGCACCATCCGCTTTCGTCACCACAATTGCTTATGCACACGCAACCCCTTTCCTATATAGACTCCCATGAAATATTTGCTTTGGGGAATCAAGATAGCTTTTTTTAAAAAATCATTTTATTGGGGGCTCGTACACCTCTTATCATAATCCATACATTGTGTTAAGCACATTTGTATATATGTTGCCATCATCATATTCAAAACATTTTCTTTCTACTTGAGCCCTTAGTATCAGCTTATTTTTCCCCTCCCTCCCCTACTCTCCCTCCCTCATGAACCCTTGATAATTTAAAAACTATTATTTTTTTATGTCTTACACTGACCGATGTCTCCCTTCACCCACTTTTCTGTTGTCCGTTCCCCAGGGAGGGGGTTAAATGTTGATCACTGTGATCTGTTCCCCTTTTCTCCCCCGACCTTCCTCTTACCCACCTGGTATCACTACTCACATTATTGGTTCTGAGGGGTTTATCTGTCCTGGATTCCCTGTGCTTTCAGTTCTTATCTGTACTAATAGTGTACATGCTCTGGTCTAGCTGGATTTGTAAGGTGGAATTGGAGTCATGATAGTAGGGGAAGGGGGAGGAAGCATTAAAGAACTAGAGGAGAGCTGTATGTTTCATCAGTGCTATACTGCACCCTGCCTGGCTTGTCTCTTCCTTGTGACCCTTCTGGAAGGAGCTATCCAATTGTCTAGATGGGCTTTGGGTCTCCAGACCACGCTCGCCCTGACTCACATTGGTATCATTTTTTGTTTGGGGTCTTTGATGATAGCTTTCTTCAATGAGGACTAAGTTGGAAATTTTCTGTTTGCCTTCCACATCCACTCTGGTCAATGCTGCTTTGGCTCCAAGAAGCTGGCCTACATGATCCTCATCGAAAGGCTTCTTATCCTGACTTCTGGTTTGATTCAGAGATATAAAAGGCACTAGCCAGAGTTCATCAAGTGGGAGAATAAGGTTTAGAGAGCTAATACCTAGGTCCTACCTTCTTAGGTTATAAAGACCTAATGACCATCATGTCCCTCTATCAAGGTGTGCTGCACCATGTAAACCCTCTCCAGGTTCCTGTAACCAAGCCCTTCAGGTACCCCTTCAAAATAAAGGCAGTACCTGTTTCTTTCCAGTTGCTAGTCATGGATTGGAGAACCCTGTCGGTGGCCATGCAATAAGCCCTTTATTAAGCTTCTTTCTCTTTTTTGGGGGGGGCTTTTATTTTTTATTAATCATTTTATTGGGGGGCTCTTACAAATCTTTTACCAACCCATCATTCAATTGTAGTAAGCACACCTGTACATATGTTGCCATCATTTCCAAAAGTTTCTTTCTACTTGAGCCCTTGGTATCAGCTCTTCCCCCACCACCTCCCCCCAGCCTTCCACTCTCATGAATCCTTGACCGATTATATATTATTGCTGTTGTTTCATGTCTTACACTGTCCGTTGTCTCCCTTTATCCACAGTTCTGTTACTTGTCCTCCTGGGGGGTGAGTTATATATCCAACCTTGTGATATGTTCCCCCTTTCCCTCTACCCCCCACCAACCAACCCCACCATCCCCCTATCTTCATAATATCATTACTCCCACTACTGTTTCTGAGGTTTTTATCTGTCCTGAATTCCAAGTGTCGAAAGCTCTTATCTGTACCAATGTGTGTACTCCAGTATAGCCAGATTTGTAAGGTAGAACTGGGGTATGGTAGTGGGGGGAAGGGGAGGAAGAAGAAGCATTCAGGAATTAGAGAAATGATGTGTGTTTTGTCAGTGCTATACTGCACCCTGGTTGAATCGTCCCTTCTCTGTAATCCTTCTGTGTGGGGATGTCCAACTGTCTACAAATGGGCTTTGGGTCTCCACTCCAACCCCTCTCTTTCACTTCAATAAAATTGTTTGTTTTGGATCTTTTGATACCTGATACTGTCGATACTTCATGATCACACAGGCTGGTGTGCTTCTTCCATGTGTGCTTATTTGCTTCCCTGCTAGATGCCTGCGTGTTTAACTCCAAGCCTTTCAGACCTCAGATGCTACATCTTTTGTTAGCCGGGCACCATCCACTTTCTTCGCCATATTTCCTTATGTACCCATTTTGTCTTCAGCGATCATGTTGGGAAGGTGAGTATCAAAGAGTGCCAGGTTATTAGAACAAAGTGTTCTTGTGCTTAGGGATTCCTTGAGTAGAGGCCCAATGTCCATCTGCTATCTAAATACTTAACATAGCTATACATTGGCTTCTAACCCTTTCACGATAAATGAATATATTTACATATATACATTCCTATAGCTATACCTCTATAAAAAGTTTTACCTACTTCTTTCCTCTATTTCCTTTCACCTTCCTCCTATCCCACTATCATGCTCACCCTCCATTTGGCTCTCAGTAATTCCTTTTGGATACACTGCACTTGATCAACCCCCACCGGGCATTAAGCCCCCACCCCCACCATCAATTTCTGATCTCCTGTCTTTCCCTTATCCCTGAGTTTGTTGGCTTCCCCCCACCTCTCCCCCTCTTCTCCCATATTCCCCCAGGACAGCCAGTCCCGTTTTCTCCTCGGGATTGTTTGACCTACCTATCATAAATAGACATAAGGCAAAAGGAAAAAAAAAAAGGTCCAGGTCTGTCTGCTGACCCTTAGGAGTGTTTTCCAATCAGGTCTGATGAGGTGCCAAGCCCTGTCCCCGGAGGGGGACTTGGTTACTTTGTTTCCCTTGCTGCCCCATTATACTTCCTTTGCATTTCACCCCGTTGTGCATGGGGTAGACCTGGCACACTTTCCGCCCAGTGTCTCCAGTGCTGTCCCCCATAGTGCTATGGATCAGCCAGGGAGTGTTGTGTCTCATGGTGGGACTAGACCTACGATCCTCTGTGCATTGGCTGCTCCAAGCAGGGATATCGTCCTCGGGTCTTGGTGGGCCAGGATAAGGTCCACTCTCTCTCTTTCCCTCTTAGTTCACACCAGTGTAGTCTGGACAGATGCACCACTGTCCCCGGGCTATATCTTCAGTGCTGCCCTCCGTAGTACATTCTTCTGGGGAGGGGCCAACACAGCGCAGCTTGGGCCCAGCCCCTTCATCCTCTCTTTTAGTTCGCTGCTCCATGCCAGTATGTTGTCCTCAAGGCCTGATGTTCCAGGGGCTTCTTCCATTTTTCTGTGTCGTTTTTCAGTGGTTCTCAACCTTCCTAATTCCGCAATCCTTTAATATAGTTCCTCATGTTGTGGTGACCCCCCCACCCCCAACCATAAAATTATTTTTGTTGCTACTTCATAACTGTAGTTTTGCCACGGTTATGAATCGGGCGACCCCTGTGAAAGGGTCGTTTGACCCCCAAAGGGGACGTGATTCACTGGTTGAACTGCTGCTCTAAGGTCATTATTTGATTAGGTGTCTACATATTCTGGCCGGATTTATCAAAGAAAAGATCCAGTTTTCACCTTAAAAAGATTACAGTAGCATCTATGTGGAAAATGGATCTGAGCATACTGCCTGATATTAGTGCAGCTTTGATGCTAAATTACAGGACAGAATAGCAGTGCTAGAAGGAAAGAGCTCAAATACAAGGTCAGGGAGAAACAAAAGAGACAACCCATGAGCAAGAATTCAATTGAGTATTCCAGGGGGAAAAGAGGATATTTTGTATGTAAAGACCTTAAAAATTATAAACCTAATAAGCTATGAACTGGTGCTGGTGAGAATCTCACAGTGGTGCACATGTTGAAGTACACAACTACTAGCTGACAGGTTCGTGGTTAGAAAGCACCCAGAAGCCATGAGCCAGAATACAAAAGATGGCAATTGGTTTTAAGTAAGATAATATTAAATAACTCTACTCCAGATAAGTTTAGTTCTACAAACATTAAAAATGTGACTACTAAATGATTGACCTTTTAAGTAATTTTTTATTCTCATAAAATATCATCATTTATAATACTAGCAAATTATTTTACACAATGATTTATATCATAGAAAAGCTTATTTAACAAAACAGCTCAAAATACTATACCTTGTAGCTCCCAGACTTTCAAAGGCATCATTTCTTTGTTACTCTCAATCAGATATTTTTGGAATGCTGTCAGATTCTCTCTAAGATCTGAATGTATTTCTCTGCATGAAAATGTGAAGAAACATTCATTATTACCACCCATCGCAATCATTTTTCAAGTGGTCTTTATTTATCTAAATTTTTATTTGAATGACAGTTTAGCGTGTAAACTGGTTTTCCATTCAACAATCCATACATGGTTTGTTTTCGAACAGTGATTGCAATCCCCACGATGCACGGCACTTGTCCCATTTCTTCCTTGTGTTTACCACTTCCCAATCCCTTCCTGCCTTCTGAGATCCAGCCCTGGGAAAATGCAGCCCCTTTGACTGTTCTAATGAAGGTGCAACTCGCTGGGGTTATGGCTCATTTCATAGGCTTATCTATGGTTTGGCCAAAAGTTGAGCCATGGAGAGGAGGAGTTTAGTTCCAGGCCTCAAGTGTGACTACACGCTACGTATTGGGCTTCCATCAGTCTCTATCAGACCAGCCTGGTATTATTTATAATTTTGTGTTTTCTTCCAGATTTTCCTCTCACTCTACCGAAGACCTCTGATTATGATCCATCTCAGAGACATCAGCAGTGGTAGTTGGTAGTATTTCTTTAAAATAATTGTTTACTGTTAAATTCTTAAGAATGAAGTCTATAGGGATGCATTGTCATTGTTAATATGTTTGTATTACCTGTAAGCAATGCACAGATGAGGGATAATTGCTTTTCTGTCATTTAATTTTAATATTCTATATTGAACAAATTGAAACCATCACTTTCATAATTTAAAGCAAAAACATTTAATAAGATATTGTTTTGTTTTTTAATCAACCTGAAAACTCAATTTCAAAATTTCCATCTTTGATATTAAACAAATGAAAGAAGATAATTTTGCCTACTATTCAATATATATATGCATATTTTAGAGCCGAAGAATAGTATTCTGAATTGCAAATTACTATGCATAGAATTCCAGCTATAATCTTCTTTTCTCTATTCCTCATGAAATCAAGACATGATTCGATTTAAATAAAATTCTTTAAGAAAAATTATAGCAATCAATATATTTTATAAAACACATTATCGGTAACTATAAATCAAAATGGAGATTCTAAGTATAAAAAGATACACAGAGCATACAGTATTAATGTCTCAATTTTATTACAATGTGGGAGTACGTTTAGAAAATGAATTCAAACTAACTAAAATCTGAGAGCGATATTGATGGAGAGTATGGTAATCCACACAGGTCACGGAGCTATAGATTATAAAAATACTCCCTCTTCTCTATTGAGTTATCTACCCAGCAGGAGATTCTGTCTCTTTAGTATGCTTAATGAGTATTTATACCATGTACATGAAAATACAGACTAGAAACTAATGTTCTTCTCTGAAGAACAAAGATATTGAAGACATTCCTTTTGGTTTTAATTAAATCTTGCTGTTGTAAGGAAATCACACACTTTCCTTTCTTGTAAACCATGAACGTGCTCGTGAACTCTAACCGTGTCCATTTATAGGTGTGCAGAAGACAAATGCATCACATGCTTTGTCTTTTACCGTCTTCCGTGCAAAAAAGGGGCGCAAGACCAATTTTAATAGGTTTTCCAATGGCAATCTGCAGCACAGAAATTCAGGCAATTTCTTTCTTTTTCAGCAATAAAATAATTCTAATTACTTCACAGTAAAGATGCAATATTACCTATAATTTTGTCCTTTTTATTTCTTTTACTCATGTTTAACACATACTTATATAATATGTACTATGTATGAGTGTTCTAAGCACTTTATAAAAAACAAATTTAATCCCAGAACACTAATAACATAATTAATGGACACTAATACTAATCCTATTGTATATATGAGAATACTGAAATGCAGAAAGATTAAGTTAATTAATTACTCGAGATCACAAAACTAATACGTGAAAAACTCAGGACAGGCAATCTGGTTCCAGAGTGTGAACTTCGCTCCGCTTCATCAGTTGGTGTTAGTGTTTGATAGTACAACTATATAGATGTCTATTATAGTACAAGAACAACAAGTCAATTTTAGAACTGATCAAATGCAATAATGTGAAAGAAGTTAATTAATAAGACACCAAAGGGATATATCTATACAGTGGGAAAATTTTGAGGACTAAAAGAAATGAATTCTTGATATATTCTACAACATGCTGGAATCTTAAAACCAGTAGTTAAGTGAAAGAAACCAGTCACCAAAAAACTGCATGATTGCAATTATATAAAATATACATACTTAACCAATCCAGATTGCAATTATATAAAATATACATACTTAACCAATCCAGACACAAGAAGTAATTTACTGGTTACCTGGAGCTGAGCTGCAAAGGGAATGGGGCATGCAAGCTAACAGATACAGGGTTTCTCTTAAAAATGATAAAACTACATCTACTCCTCACTTATCAACTATATCTGACATTTCACATTTATGACAGTAAAAAGTGTGTTATTTTGTGACAAATGACATATGTCTGACATAATGACTGCAGTGCTGTGAGGCAAGAGTCACTGGCTGTAATGGTTAAGGTACATGTCAACTTTGCTGGGCCATGGTTCTCAGAGGTTTGGCAGTTACGCAATAATGTCATTTGGCTGTTATGGAATGACGTAGTCATCTTTCATTTTGTGATAGTATGTAATTATCTTTCATTTTAATATAATGCCTGTTTTCACAAAACAGCCAGGTCTTTGGAACTTCACCGTATCAGTAAGTGAGGCATGGTTGTATTCAGGAATTTGATAGTGGTGATGTATAAAATCTTGTGATTTCAGGAAAAAATGAGTTCTACAATTAAATGAGTTATAAAATTTTAAAAGGCGAACTTAATGATATATAATTATGTCTCACTAATGCCACTATAAGGAGTCCTGGTGGCAGTGTTGGATTGCCACCACAAAGTAGGCAGTTCAAACCCACCAACTGCTTCATGATGACTCTATATGCCCCTTAACTATTCACTGTCCTGAGAACCTTAGGGAACAACTCCACTTTGCCCTATAGAGTCGCTGTAGGTGAGAATTACTTAAGGGCAGTGGTTTTGTGTTTTAAAACTATTAAACACACACTTAGATAGACCAAATAAATAATCCCTGTATATTCATGGGTATACTTCTACTCTCTGTCCTATACAAATTTCTCCTGCATGTAATATTGCAGGACTTTGTATATTAAGTGATTCCTCTGTTGGTAATCCTCTCAGCATCCTCCCCTGCCTCCAGTGATTTTTGTTGACTTCCTTCTTGTATGTTGCCCTTGGCTTAACCCAAGTTAACAAGGGTCTACCCTCTAGCAAGTAATTTGCTGTATTTTCCCCTCCCACCCCTAGTAGCCATCAGAGAATATTTCTTTCCCTGTGAAAATGTACTTATTACTATGTTTTATGATACTGAGAAACTATTTGTCCTTTAGGACTGACTACATTCATTTAGCACAATGTACTCCAGGTGCATCTGTTAAGAGATGTTTTGCAGATTTAATGTTATTTTTCAAAGTAGTGTTATAATTCATTATGTGTATGTACCAAGGTTATCCTTTCTTCTATTGATGATCATTTAGGCTTTCATATTTTTGCTATTGTTAATAGTGCTGATATGAATACAGTTGTCATATATCTATTCATGCAGTTCTTATTTCTCTAGGATGTATACCCAGTAGTGGTATTTCTATTTCCAACCTTTTTTTTAACTTGAATCTACATTTAATTTTTAAAAGCATTAACACTACATTTTAAATATAATTTCTAACATATTTTTTTGAGAAATAAAGAACAGTCAATAAAACTATAGAACATGACATGTAAAAAGCACCCTGCCATTTTCCACACTAAGTACACTATTTCACAATCCCACCAGCAGTGTACTAGAGTTCCAGTCTCTCCACACCCTGGCCAACATTTGTTGTTGTTGTTAACATTCCTATTAATGCTGGGGTGAGACGATATCTCACTGTGGTTTTAACTTACACCTTTAGAATGGCTAATGGTCACAGGCATTTTTTCCACGTTTGTTGGCTTCTCGAATACTTTCTTTAGTAAAGTGTGGTAAAGTGTCTGTCCATGTCTTGTGCCCATTTTCAATCAGACTATTTGTCTTTGTCTTATTGAGGAGTTGAAGTTTTCTATAAATTTAAGAGATTAGTCCTTGTCCAATATGTCACTGGAAAAATTGTCCCGTCTATGGGACCTCTTTTAACTTGTCCGATAAAATCTCTAGACATATATAACTGTCTAATTTTTAAGCGGTCTCAGTCATCTACTTTGTCTTCTACTACTTGTGTCCTTTCCATTATGTTTGATAGCACCCAATGTCAAATGCTATTATTTTAAAAATAATACCAATAGACTTCTCAAGATAAAAAATAGATAATATCTGAATGACTAACATTCCTTCAACTAAATGAAAATTTTAAATTAAGTCAATTAACTTTAACAATGCAAAAAGTTGAAGCTAATTTTATTATCTAGTCTCTTCAAATTAAAAACTTCCTAAACAAACATTAATTATATAGTTCATTATGCACCTGACTTTTAAATTAAAATGTTAGAAATTTAAGCAAAACAAGTTACTACTTTGAATTATATGTGGGAAATTTTAGTTTGTTCAATGACAGCAGCATACAGTACGAATGAATAATCTAATTTGAAAATGTTACAAGATTATTAAGTTTCAAGTAATTCATTTGCTGGTTTATGCCTTTCATTTCATATTTTCAGTGCTTAGCCAAAGGAAGCCTTTGTTTATGGGACAAAAATTTGTTACAAATAAAAGAACTGGATATTTAAATGACGTAACATAGGCTTTCAAGGTCTTAATTAGTATTTTTTAGTTTTGCCATGGATGCTGAGTATTAGAAATTGGTCCTAATTCTCAATCTAGTAAACAGAAACCAGTTCTCACTAATGAATAAAAGTTCATTTTTTTAAGCTTAAGCAATAAAAATAAATTTCAACAGTAAATCATTCAACATAGGGCAAGGTTTAAAAGTTTTCATTTGTTGTGCTTTACACAATTGATGTACGTATGCACTGTGATAAAAGTTGTATGAGCCCCTAATAAAATGATTTAAAAAATTTTTTTAATAAAAATGTTTTTAAAAGTTTTCATTTGTAAAAAGTTATGATAAATTAATTTTTTAAAAGATGAACAAAGAAAAGCTGAGCAAAAGCTAAAAATAAGCAATTTACCCAAGAATACATACTTCAAGATTTTTAAAAAACATAATAACAAGTTTAAATTTGCTATTAATAAACTGCTAGCATTTTAGTGTCTTTGACTACATATTATAATATAGTTCAGTCTGGTAAAATATATGCAGAATAAAAAAAATAAAATTTTTACCTATGAAATTAAAGAAGATTTAGAAAATATTGTCAGTGGTTAATAAACCTCTAGGAAACAGGCACACCTAGCTTTGGGGATGAGTGTGTGTGTGTGTATATATATATATCAGTATAATTTCATAGAGAATTCTTGAAAATATGTATAAAACACTTCCAAGATGCACATTTTCTTAAATTTAGTAGTACTTTGCAGGAATTTGTGTCAAAGAACAGATATGCATAAATTTGAGCAAAAAATATTCAAAGAAATAATCTAAAACCCATTCTATAGGATTGTTAATGTACATCATGGCACATCCCACAAGATCCAGAAAAAAGTAGAGGGGCAATATAGTCTGACTACGCCAAAATAGGGTCGTGGATGGATTTATTTGTTTCTATAAAATAAGTACAAAAAGCTGGAAAGGCCTACACTACAACAATAACAATCATCATTCTTGCTTAGGGAATCCATGGAGAATATTTTACAATTTCTGCCACCCGTTTGTCAGTTTGTTGTAGTGGTGGCCAGCATGTCCCATGATGAAACTCTATGGACACCTGTCCACATGGGTGATCATCGATAAGGCGGTGGGCAGTTTTAGTGGAGTTTCCAGACTAAGCCAGGCAGGGGAAAAATTCTGGTGATCTATTTCTGAGTACCAGTTAACAAAAACCATATGGATCAAAACAGTATGTTGTAGGAAACAGTGTTGGAAAGCACTCAAAATACAAAACTAACACAGACCAATGACGGTGAAGATGGTGCAGACTGACAATGCTTCGTTCTACTCTCTTTGGGGGTTCCATGGGTCAGGGCCGACTTGAGGGCAACTAACAACAAGAACATTCTCCCCCCTCCATATATATTTTAATATTGAATGCTTACATGTTAGAAACACGTCTTTTTAAAAAATTAATGAAATATTAGTAATTGGTTGTTCGCTGTGATTTTTATGCTGTAAAAACTATGCCATTTTACAATCTTATGCTATTTTTATAATAAAAAACCTGTATATAAAAGGAAAGGTGAATTCATTCTACTGAAGCCAAACTTAAGAGTAAATTTACAATGATTTTCTGTGTATTCAGACTTACTTTAGCTTCCCAAAGAGAAACCCTTGAATGTCATCTGCTTCAGTTTCGTCTTCCACAGCAGTATTATTCGCAGCTGCATTACGAAAAACACCAAGTGAACACGCTTTCAGGCTGGAAATGGACTAGGCAATCAATAATGAAAGTAATACAAGTGAATCACTTCACTCTATCTTTCCTGAACATGAGTGACACATGCCTGTGCACACGCGTGCCTCCCTGAGTGCGCGCGCTCTCTATTGAAGCTTGGATTGGCTAGTAAATATTTCATCACTCTAATTAATAGACATTATTTTATGGTTGAGTTCTGGGTGTTTTTGAGTTTTGTTTTGTAACTAGAAGTGATTAGTACAAGCACCTGGGACAAAGCTGGGTATACCAGTTAAGTCATACTAAAGAACCGAATCACTAACAAACAGGAATTCTAACATAGTTCCATGCCTACAAGCAAGGAATCTTCTTTTCAGAATAAATTGTAATTTTCCCCCTTCCTTCTAATACAGTCAGGTTTTGGAAGTGTTCCACAATAACTTGACAAGCATATTTTCTGTTCCTGGGATATAATTTTCTCATGCAGCTATTTGAGTAAGCTTGTTAATTCGCCTATTTAGATACTCTACTTTAACTTATCTGTGTTTACATGATCTGTTAGTTTCTGAGAGGAAAACATTAGGATTCCCTTTATGATTTCAGATTAGCCCATTTTCAATGTGTGTAGGTAATATTTAGTTTGTATTTTGATACTATATTGTTCAATACAAGCAAGGAATCTTCTATGTTCCGTTTTAAAGAAATGAAAACGTACAACTTAAAATATATATATATACTACTATTTTTAGTTAATTTCCCTTTCCTTCTTCCTTATGTAGTAAATAATTAGAATACACAGCCTGGTATATCAAATACGCAGGGTGCTTTGGTATTCTAAAAGAGTGTGCATTTCACAGGTGCTGTCATGATCAAAGGCACAATTCTCGGAAAGTTACAATCTCTAAGGCTCTAGCTAAGATCTCGGAGTGTTCTGATTCAATTTCCCAATTCCTCCCTTTCGTTCCTTAGGCAAATACTTATCGCTCATGCCTATCAGAACAGACACCAGGAAGATGCACAAAAGACACAGACCCTGCTTGGTGCAAAATGAGAAAGGCAAACAAGCAGGCAATTTTAACAGTGTGAAGAACGTTTCGGAAAGTAGGTAGAGTTATTCCAAATAGAGAAAAGGAAAAACCATCCCCTGACAGAACAGATGCTATCCAGCCATCTATCTCAGAGGTCCTGAGTGATAGGAGTCTTAAAAGATAGATGCAATGAAAGAGATTGGAGAGTAGAAGGAGGGCTTTCAGGCAGATGTAATAGCAAATGCTAAGAGATTTAAGTACTAGAGGTTATAAATACTTGGAAGACCGTGTAGGTGTTAAAGACAGAGAAAATGTTTCTATAAAGTAGCATTGCAGGGCCAGACGGTACAATGTGAAAATGTTAAGGGGAACTGATAAGACAGATAGGGGGGTATTGTGAAAAGCCCTGTTTGCTATATTCTAGGATTTTGAAAATGTGATGCAGGTCACACGGAGCTATAAAAGGGTTGTCTGCCAATACAATTATAAAGCCAGATTTCCAACCTAAGTACATTCTGAAAACATTGTAGAGATTAGATTGATTACTGTTATGCTGAGGGCATCAAAGACCAATGACCAGAAAGAAAGCCAGTTAGAAGCCTAACACATGTATGAGAGAGGGAAAAAGAAGTAATAGAGGGGCACCAAAATGGGAGGGGGCTATATTCCAAAGGTATGTGAAGGGTTCACTTGACACAAACACAGACAGTACAAATGTGATCCCCTGATTTTTACTGAAAAGTCTGTGAGTCTAAAGGCAGCTAGAAAAAGTTTTGTCACTATCATGATCATTTATAAAGACACAAGGTCATAAGGCTACATTTAAACTAGACTGAAATATATAAAATCTGGATTATTATTTTTACTATACTAGTTCAGTCATTAACAAAGAATAGTTGAATTAAAATAAGCAAATCTTCACTAAAAGTGTGTTTCTAGTAAGAGCCCGTCATCAAGGCCGGGGTTTCACGGCCAGCTACTGCAGAGAGAAACAAACTGGAAGCAAGAGCCACTTCTCAGCGCAGACGCAGAATGAACTGACATGCTTCACCAAGAATCAAGTCTAAATACATTTCAGAAAGATTAGACAAGACGACTCTGTCAGAATGATTTTTTTTTTTTAGAATCTCCAGATTCTATCTTAGGCAAAGATTTAGTTCACAGAACTACAGAAGATCAGTTTACAGATCACAAATTGAATCATCTGACCTCAACTAAATAAATGCTTCACAGTATTATACTATTCCCCTGAAAAGGGAATTCACGAATTCACCCTTGACTTTAGCATCATCATACTGCAAACAGTGCTTCAGAAGCCAGAACGTCACCGTTAGGCTATCGGTTTGCTGAGCTATGGAGCTCCGGAGAGCCTGGGGTGTCGCTCTGGCTGTAGTCTCTGCCAGTCTGAAGTCTTAGGCCAGTCATCTCTACTCATAAACTTTCACTGCTACTGTAGAGTTTTTATGTCTTTCTAACAGTGGCTGAGAATTGAGTCTAAGCAAAAGAACACACTGACTCCTGTCTTTAAGAGCACATTAGTAATAGGCGCAATCCCTCTATTTCCATTTAAAACTAAATTCAAAACTAGGTGAAGACATTCGCTTTGATCTCTATCCTCAAATTACCACAGGTAGGATTAAACACATTTTATTTTTTAAAAGCAAAAGTATGTACAGTTTTCTTACTTTTCATTCCAGTTCAGAGAGAGAAACTTACTTTTAACTTGGGTATCATCCAGTGCTTTGTATTCTGTACTTTTAATAGCGAGCTCCACACCATAGCCAGATAAGTACATTTTCTGTGAGCTTGGTTTCTGTTCAAAAATATTTGATAAAATGACAAAACACTATGATGGGTACATTAGCACATTAGAATTACCAAAATTGCTCAATCAATATGAAATGTTATTTGAGAGAACATTTTTCTCCCTACATACTCCATGTCAACGAACCAGAATTTGATCAATAAAATCCTTTGCATTCTGAAAAATTTCTCATGACTTGTTTTCATTACTCTTCGTAAATGGAAATATTTCTGATCTCTTCCTTTACACCATGACAATGTTTCCAATCTACTACATGAATTGTTGCTAATTGAAAGCCAAGTTTTTTTTACTTTTTTTATATTAAGGGAGATAAATATATCAATAACTATAAATACTTCCATGCAAACATAGAAAGCAATTCATCTAGAATTACAAGGAAGTTCAATGTGCAAGGGACAAAGGCTGCACTCCACTCCTGGCTCTTCATTCTTGATGACAATGAGATTTCCCCTTTGCTTCTGGGGTGGCTCCTTTCATTCGCAGCAGGACAAAATGGACAAACTCTCTTAGGTTGGAGCTCCAAGTTTTTTCATCACAATTATCTCTGTTAATCATCACTCACAACAGATAATATAGTCCTACCATCCTCCTCCTCCCCCACTTTCTCTTGGCCAGACCCATCAGGACCCAGTCATGTGGTAGAAGTTTACAAACACTATGGCTAGAAAAACCATGTTAAGTAATTATCGGAGCCTAACAGGTCAAGCTCAGTGCTCAATCCTGGGGTTAAAATGATGAACAGCAAAAACAACAACAAATACAAGGGAAAGTTAGAAAGTATTACTAGAAACTATGCAACTAGGCATAGAAATTGTTGTTAAACAAAAAAAGCGCAGTGTGATATATCCTCCTCTATGGCTAGAAACTTCAGAAAGTAGGGCATCTGTCTCTATATAACCCTTCTCCTAAAGAATTCTGGCTCTTCAATTTACATGATACCAAAATAGATGTTTTGTCATTCTTGAGAGACCCGGTTCTTTGCTTGTAAATGTTCTTTTGAGTTTGGGGGACCAAAAGAAATCTGCAGGAGCAAGGTTGGGGGTGTACAGACGAGGTGTGGCTTTCCAATGTAATTCTCACAGGGCAGCTCTAGCCACACTTGAAGAATGAATGGATGGGTGTAGCAATAAAAAAAGAGTTCCCGAGCACAATATTTCTGCCCTTTTTGCATTTTCAAAAACTTTCTTCATAATAAGCCCCCACAGTCCTGTGTCCTCTGAGAAACTTATCAGGGATACTCTTGACTTCTCTGCCTTGGCTTTAACGGGCCCATCAGATCCCCTGAGAAGTTTCTGTTCATTGGACTTTTCAAAAAGATAGTATTCTAATGAGACTAAATGTATTATTGAGATAACTTGTTTGCAGACATCCACTGATCGCAGAGACATGTTTAAACATTTTGTATTGGATAAATCTGTACATGTATGAACTGAAACCCTAGGGCAATGTTTTATTTTTTACTTCCCCTCATACTTCCTTCTTTTATGGTATGTGCATTCCCCATCCAAGTACTAGCTAGACCTGCCCCCACTTATAGTTTGAGATCAGACGAGATGGTGGTATGGTAGTAGATGGTACTTGCATTCTAATGTACATGTGTGGGGTAAAGTGGGAATAACAAACGGACAATTAAGTCATGCTATATAATACAAAAAGTGCTAATAGTGCTTATAGTGGAGTATAAACTCCCCTATAGTATAGGATACAACAGTGTGGACATTGGAGATGAAGAAAAATATTTTTCCAGAGAATTCCATCATATTAGTCCTCCTAAATTAAATATCACAACATTTTAAAAACAACCACCACCATCTCTTCTTTTGATTTGGGTGACAGTTAACAGAGTAAGTCAATTTTACATTCAGTAATTGACACACATTCTTGTTTCATACCACTGACTGCGATCCTTATAATGCCACAGCACTCATCCTACCTCCTGCGTTTCCCACTTCCAGTTTCTAGCCAGGGCACGGCTTACGCATTGTAACAGTGGGGAAATTCCAAGTCCCCTGTTCCGATGTCAGGCTGAAGGTGTCTCCTGACTCACGGAGCTGCAGAAGCTGACAACGAGCCCAATATGGGGCCTTTTCTGTGCTTCCCCAAAGACACTACAGCTGTGCTCTTCACGACACAAACGCCCCTCGGTTTCCCCAAACCGGACAAATGTGCGCTCAGTCACCGGTGCCAGAGCTCAAGTCCCTTGCCCTACTCCCATCCCCTCCCACCTGAGACCTACACATGGTGTTCACCTGTGCCCACCTCCCTTGGCAACCCACGAGCCCCCAAACCACACCCACAATGTGGTCCGCGGCATACCTCCACCCAGCAATACACACCCTGTGGCCCCTGGCATTTACCACCCAGGCAACAGGAGCACTGTGGGCCCTTACCCTAATCCCTCCCCCTCCCACCTGCACCCCTAGGCGCCACCCCCCTCGGCAAACCACGTGCCACAATCACCACCCCCAGCAACGCACAAACCATGTCCCCTTGAACTACCCACCTTTTACCCCCAGTGACACACGCACTGCAGTCCAGTGTGTATCCCCACCCTGCAAGAAGCATGTCATGATCCCTGGTGTTTCCCTCCCAAGCAACTGGAGTGCCAAGATCCCTTACCCTAATGCCTCCCCCTCCCACCTGAGACCCAAGCGCCATGTTCATCTGGACACCACCTCCTACCAGCCTTAGCAACCCATGCGCAGCATGCCCTTGCTTCGGATAGCCTACACCTCTAGGGCATCACAAGGATGTCCGCTTGGGCTGAGGGAGGCTATAGACATTGAAGACAGCTGCAGTCAGCAGATATGAACCGCAACTGGGATAATCCCTTTGATGAAGGCCTCCATACTCCCCTATTACCAAGGGAACAACTAAGCCCTTCAGATAGACAGCCCCAAGAATTTAGGAAGAGAGCTAGAAGCAGAGACAGATTCAGAGATGCAGCTCAAACCTATGGCGTAGATAGCTCCAGGGAGTTGGTAAGTTTACTCCTATTATCTTCTGAGAAAGAAAACACAGGGTTTCTTTCCCCGCCACACAAATAATTGAAGAACTGCACTCTCCCTATAAACTACAAGGGCGGTGAGATAGTTACATAATCTGTTGTCAATTTGAGGCTTAAGAGCGAAGGGGTAGAGTTTAGCCTGTCAATCAGATCTCAGCTTGAGGCACTAAGGAGATAAATAGCTCGCTGGAGGCGGGACACAGGCTGACTCCCTGGGAGAGATTGCAGCTGACCAGACACAAGGAGACAGGCTGATGGCAGCCACAGCCTTGGAGCGGGAGAAGCCACATGGAGAACCCTGCCAGCACTGAGATAGTTACACCACCACTAGATCCACAAGACTTCCCACCCACTGTGATCTTCCTGCATTCAGTGTCATAGCATGTGTTTCATGAGTCTGAAGAGGACTTTATAGATTGTTATCAGACATATGGGCTAATATCGGGCTTATGGACTTGAACTGGACTGGGCTAGGATGTTTTCTTAATGTACAATTACACATCATATAAAGCTCTTTCATATATCTATCTCCCTGGGATGTTTTCTTAATGTACAATTATGCTTCATATAAAGCTCTTTCATATATATATTCATATTCTTAATGTACAATTATGCTTCATATAAAGCTCTTTCATATATATATATATTCTTAATGTACAATTATGCTTCATATAAAGCTCTTTCATATGTATGTATGTATGTATGTATGTATGTATGTATATAATCCCTGGATTTATTTCTTTAGTTTATCCAGACTAATGCAGTTGACAGACTCTGGTAGATATCATCTATGCTTCATGCACTCCAACCACCATAAACTCTGGAACCTGCTTCCTACACCCCAGTAACACATTTTCCTTTAACTTACCAAGTGAAAACATCCCTGCCATACCCTCTTTGCCAACTCATTAAAAACTAACCCATTTAACAGGAGGGTGTCCTATGGTTAATACCACTAATTCAAACCTACTCCCGAGTACCAATAACCTATTTCTCCTATTCAACCAACAGCCCCCATCAACTACACACAATACCTTCTCCAACACCTAGCACCCTCCCCTAGCCTATAGAGCCAGCTCCTCCACCATACATGTCACAGAAGTCGAGGCAGTACCTCAGTTCACCCACAATGTGACACAGACAACAGCTACCACAAAAAATTTAAAGAAACAAAAATCAATCACTGAAGATGATGTAACGCAACAGTTTACACAAAAACAGCAGCCCTTGAATTATCAGAGAATTCAAGAAAATGTTGTTAAGAGTTGTACAGGAAATTAGGGGCTCAATCCTGAAATCAGATGAAAAAAGAGAGAAAGAAGAATCCTCACATCAAAGGGATATCTAAGAGTTAAGGGATGAGGTAGAACAATTAAGGAGCACGGAGAAGGATATTGTGTTAGTCTGGGTTCTTTAGAGAAACAAATCCACAGAAACTCATGTAAAAGAGAGAGTTTTATATAAAGGGTAAGTGCACATCATGAAAACATCCCAACCTAGTGCTGCCTAAGCCCACAAGTCCAACATTAACCCATATGTCCGACACCAATCCACAAAGTCCTCTTCCATCTCACAAAGCACACACTATGGCGCCGACTGCAGGAGGAAATCGGAATCAGTGAATGTGTAAACATGTAAGCGCTGGCAGGGGTCTCTACACAGCTGCTCCAGCACACAGGGCTGCATGAGGTAGGTCCATGTGGCTTCTCCTAAGGGATGTCTTGTAGGAAGTGAGTCTTGCCATCTGAAACAGGGAACTGGCTAAGGCAGCTGCACCCTGGTCCGACTATCAGAAAGCAAGAGACCCGAGAACTAGAAAGGCGAGGCTCACCGATCCATTTATCCCTCTGCCCTTCAATTAACCCCATATGTGATTATCGGCCAGGTTGGCACAATAAACTTTAACTCAGATATGAACCATAGAAGGGAAGAAATGGAAAACTGAATCAGCTAACTCAAAGATAAGCAAGTAGAATTCAGC